TTAAAGATAGCATTTCATAGCAGGGGTATTTGGAATTGAAATAGTTTTTAGAAAATCTAAAAATTCAGAGAGTTAAAAGCTGTACTGATGGTTGAACTGGTAGAGCTGTCATTCAAAACTGTGTAAATTGTTGCTCTGTCCTCTCTCTTGCATCAAAAATTCATTTTCCCCTTTGCAGAAGTTCCTGCACTCTGGTTTGGGTGGGGCAGAAGTTTTTCAAGCAGTTTAATGTGCCCTGGCAGTTCTTTCAGCTGGTCTGGGTTTGGTGGCTGTGAACTTGTTCAGCTGGGAACAGCTCAACCACCACTTTCCAGAAATGCTGCTTTCTGCTGTCCGGGTGTATTTGGAGAAAATTTGTGTTCACTCACTTTACAGGTGAATTCTTACTTCATTTTAGTATTTTTCAATTTGTTGTTTTTCCCACTTGTTTTCCCCATAGGACATTGCTTTTGCCTTGTTTTGTACATTTATAAAAATTATTGCTATAATCTCAGAAATATTTATAGGTAGATACATAAGGTTTTATTGCAGTCCTGCTCTATAACTGGTGGTTTATGGGTTTCTTAAGGAGAAGGGAAATTGTTGTTTTCAGTCTATATAGTCAAGAGTTGGCAAAGTGATTTTGTCTGTGAGTTTGGCTTCACTGCAGCTCTGTGCTGTCAGCCTGACCAGTGATCCCAAGACCCCTCAAATTGTCCTGGTTACCTTGGGAACCAGGAATGGCTGGATGGGGTAAGTGACCACTGTCTTTCCCTCTCCTCTCCTTCTAACCAGCAGGGATGTTTTGAATTTATTTTGTAATAAAATATACTTCTGGGCCACCCTAGTCTCCATAACCTGAGGCACACACTCTGTACAGGTCCTTTGGGCAGGGAGGTGAAAATGATCTTTTTCCTCTTCAAATCCTCTCCAAGTGAGGACTGCTCCCTCTGACCACTCATTATGCACAGAAACAGTGCAGAACTTCCTGTGCAGAAATGTCATCCCAAATGACAATCACAGAATACCACCGAGATATCTTTGGGGAGGAGACTGGACTACAATGCTGGGCACAATCCCAGAATTTCAGGAAAAAGGATTATTTTAAGACCAGAAAATTCTTGACTAAGTTTCACATTGTATTTTCATTATCATGATGCTAAGCACCCTGCCTTTAAAACAGCTAAATTGCAATTAAACCCAGGACTTAGCCTAGCAAGGGCTCCCTTGGTTCTTGTGGCTCAGCCCTCAGTCCAGCTGTGGGAGGGGAGAGCACAGCACTGGCACAGCCTGGGCAGTGAGAAATAACTTCAAACTCGACCTCTGCAACAGCAAAAGTCCTCATGGAGTGAAGCTTACGAGGGAGAGAGATGTTTTGATTCCTCTGAAGTGTCTGATAATAAATTATTGGAGTACCTATAGATGAGGATCCCACTGTTAGCTCAAGAGCCACTCCAAGATTAATTGTATAAAGCTGCATGCAAAAATTGGTGCTTCATTTGTGAGCACGTGGAAGATGTCATCTCCTCTGTAAATGTTCTCTGAAGAATGTCCTTCTGCCTGCTTGAAACGTGGCTCCTTTGACAAGCTCAGCTGAAGAGTGAGAGGTGCTGAAGTTCTGGTATTTTAAAAAAAATCATCATTAAATATACAACAATGTGTGAGATTCCACTTGGGAGTCTGAGGAGAGGCTCTGCAGGAATAGGGGTTAGAGATTCTGCCCAATATTTAGTAAAAATATGAAAGTTTTGTTCATTAGATAATTTTGACGTCTTGTCCTCGAATAAAACTGCATATAAATAAGTTTATTTACAAAAAAGGTGTTGCTTTTGATAGCGTGCTTCAGAGAAGGCTGGTGGGTGAAGGGTTGAAGGCAGAGGAGCAGGTGTTTAGCCCTGCTCAAGAGAGTGAGAGGTGGGAGCATTTTCAGTTGATTCATGAATTTAAAAGGACCTTTCTAAACAGCAAAAAAGAATTACCTGGATGAAGAGAGCAAGTGCAGTCCAACAGTAGAAGGGAAATTTCGCTCTTGTCTGACCAGAGAAATGCCCTTTTCCTGGTGCTTTGCCTTCCCAGCCTTGCTCTCACCTCCCTTCTGTCCTCAGCCAAGACCTGTGGCCAACACTGGATCTTCCTAAATGGATTCCTCATGACCAGGAGCACAAATTGTTTTCTGCCCCTTGAGCTTAATGAACCAGATCTGTTAACATGACTGATACAGAGTATTGATGCTGGGGAAAACAATGTAGTCTGCCTTTATTTATTTCTAACATCTGGTATTTAATATCCCACCAAATTACTGCCGTGCCAAAAGCTTTTGATTTGAACTCTGGGAATTGATTTTAAACTGCCAGTAAATACAGAAATGTTGGTAACAGTCTCCATCAGCCATTAATCATTTATGTCAAAGTTACTAATTTGAACTCCAGCTTGTGTAAACAGCTCAGATGCTTTAGCATTTAAGCCCTGTTGAGCTGCCCACTGACACTGCATTATTTACTGATACTGCCCTGTAGCTATTAAATCTGTCTGCAGCTCTCACTGCTGTCTGGATTTAATGCACCCCTGACTTCCTGCACTGGGAGTGTTGGATTCACTCTCAAGGAGAATTCTGTAGTTTAATTCCAGAGCACAGAGCCCCACGATAAATCCCATCCCAAAAAAATCAGTGCAAGAAGGTGAAGATTATCAGGAGAAACGTGGCATTGCCCTGGAATTTGCACCTGCCTTTTTGAGACATGCAGCTGCCTAAATAAAGCAGCGTCCTCGTGGTGGGATTAACCCGGCGGCTTCGCCCGTGGATTTGTTGCTGTAGTTCCAACAGGAATTTGTCCTGGCATGGAGGTTTGGCAGGGAGGAGGATGCAAAGCGTGGAGTCCCCGTGTGTGGGTTGGGGTGAGAGACACGAGCTGAGCCAGGGTCTGTGCCAGGGAGCCGCGCAGAAGCGCCAGGCGTGGGCACAGGTGGCACCAGGCTGCCTCCACAGGGAGCCCTGGGCCTGGCATCCCTTCCCCTTCCCCTTCCCCTTCTCTCAACTCAATCCCAATCCCAATTCCAGCCTATTTCTGTTGGACAGCAGGGTTTTATTTTCAGAGATGGGGAGTTGGGTGGTGATTCCAGACATACTCAGTGCTGGACAGTGGGGCTGCCACTGAGCACAGGGACATTTCTGACAGTCTGTAACCCTTCAGAAACCCCAGTTCTTACTCGAGAGGGCTTTTTTTTTTTAATGTTTTTAATCCCGTTTTTAAATTTCAGTGCTTTGCTGGAATTTCTGTTTCCGATGGAATACAGTTAGAATTTTTGGTGTGAATGGAAGTCCATTAAACTCTGGGAACTGGCAAATCTGTGAGCACCCTCTCGTGGACTCCCGATGAATTACAGTGTGTTCCATCCTCCCAAATTCCTCTTCTGCCATGAATTTAAGTATAATTTACAGATTTTAACACATGCAGTTAGAGAAGAGTTTTTATGCTTCACAAAATACTTGTGGTTGCAAGTCAAAGAATTCCAAACCAGAGAATTAAAATCTCATTCACAAACAATTTGTATTTAAAGGTGTGGAATGAGTGTCAAACTGGTATAAAGAACTTGAAATTCAACATGATTTATCTCAGGCTTTTATGAAATATAAAACCTTGTATTTCAGACAACAGGGTTTAAAAATGAGTGGATATCTTTTTTCTTTTTAGAGATATGGGTGATACAGGGTAATTTATGTGATTTTGGAAAATTTCATATTTAGTGTATGGTTTTTGGGTATTTTTTTTAGCTGTGAGCATCTCTGTTAAAAAAAAAAGCTGTAATTCTGTACTGTTTGGGCTCTGTAGCCCAGAATTACCTGCCCAACCTGAGTCTGATAACTCCACACATGCCATTAATGGCTCTGGATGCATCTAACTCTGCTACACCACCTTTTTACAGCTTCTTAAAAATAATTAGGCACTTGAACAGCAGTTGCAATTTTTCTCAAGTGACTCACGTTGAGCTTTGAGAAGGAAGTTATCCCAAGGATTTATTTCTGTGGATAAATACTAGTTTTCTGTGCAATGCCCTTGAGCATTGAGCATCCTTTTACCTTCCCTTACTCATTTTAGCAATTAGAGCCGCTCTCATTTGAGAAGCATCTCCGGTAAGCTGCTCTCCAGAGCTCTTCCAGTTGGCTCCTTCAGCTCTTCACAGGTTGGGGCCATGGTTTTCTCGGCAGCTCGAGGCGAGAGCCGTTCCTCCCCGCGTGGCTGGTGGGATCCAGCTGGGCGTGCGGTGCCAGCTGGCCTCCCGAGGCTCAGCTCCTCCAGCTCAGCTCCTCCAGCTCAGCTCCTCCAGCTCAGCTCCTGCCAGGCTGCCAGCTCACAGCCCACGCTCCCCTTCCCCTTCCCTAATGACAGGGAACGGAGCCTGCCTGCAGACTGGCTGCTTGCAACTGGGAGAACTGGTTTGGGTTGCAGTGTGATGGGTGCTGGAGCTGCCCTGCTCCTCAAACATTCCTGGTGTTATTTTCAGTAACTTTAACTTGTAAAAAGTTTCCTCTCTCCTTGCCTGCTTTATTTATGAATGGAGAGGAGTCTTCCCTCTGCTTTAACCTTCCAAGGAAGTGAAGTTTGCCTTTCAATTTGTTTCCTCAAAGCCACCATGCCGAGGCTCTCCCTCCCTTTGCTGCCCCTCCTCACCGGAGCAAACCTGGCAGCCAAGCTGGATTATTCCCTGGAATCACCAGCAGGTGCTGTGGCACCTTTGGTTGCTCCCAGAGCCTAAGTGATGGATTTGAAGCTGTATCATTACAGGTAAATGAGAGGTGCAAGGAGATATGCTGCCATTAATGCCTGGATCCCTGCTTTGCTGTGTTCCAGGATGGCGTTCTTCCTGGAGGAGGTGATGACTTGCACCAAGCGTCTCCTGGAGGTGATATCTGGCTGGCTGCCTCGACACTTCTTCGGTGCAATCCTAGTTTCTCTCCCAGCTCTTGCAGTTTTTTCACACTTCACCTCTGATTTTGAAACAAATATACATGTAAGTTGTTGAATTCCCTTCCATAATGTGACGGTTTGGAGCTAGCAAAGCTTGTTGCTTGCCTGCCTTCCTCCACCTCCCTCCTGCTTTACATCTGTTTGATACAGATCCCTTGGAGGGATGGGGCTTTGTGGATGATGGAATTCCTGGTCTGTTATGTAAACACAGTCACGGTGAAAACTCTCAGACAAAAGGGGAGAGGATACCTAGAAATTCCTGCTGCCTGCATACTTTTTTCCTCTTAGACCAAGCACTTCTGCAGGATTTTTTTTGAGATAATGCAAATGGTTTTATCTCAGGATTATCATCCTGGGCTGGATTTGGAGTTTGGAGTCAGAGGAGCTGTATCAGTGAACCTCAAGAGTGAGAACAGGATTAGTGAGGGATGTTTTGGCTTTGCAGAGTGAGATGAAGGAACTCAAAGGAGAGAGCTCTGAGTACCTAGAAATGGCCATTGCAGGGGCTGTGGGAATGGTTAAAGGAATGCCTTCTGAAAAGAACTGGGAATAAATTGTCATATTTAACCCAGACACAGAGATCCATAGGGAATTTGGTGTCTCTGTTATTAAAAGCACTCAGAAGGGGAGAACAAGGGGTTAAACATTCATAGAACCACAGAATGGTTTGGGTTGGAAGGCACCTCTTGTTCCAACCCCCTGCCATGGGCAGCAGTGAGGAGAGGGAAGAACAGTTTAATTTCAAAGCCAACTGTAGCTTAAAATCAAGGCTTAAAAACTGAATAAAATGGCCTCAAGCTGGAGATGAAAGATTGTTTCTCTGCAGGTTTTTTCTTAGGCAGCACAGTGTGCAATCCTTCCTTTCCAGGATCTTCAGGGAATTGTGCTTCACAAAGCTCTTGCTATTTCAGGGCCCTGGGTGTAGGTAATGACCAGATCCTCTTCACTCTTCCTATCACAGCTTATTCCTGGCTACTGGGGAGTGTTTGTTCCATGGGAACGTGTGACCACACATTTTTTGGTCCTTGCTGATTTAAACACGCATCCCGTGGTTATCACAGTCACAGGAGGGTGTGGTTTACATTCTGTTCCATCCCATGCTTAAGATCATTCTGCAGCTTTTACCTTTTGGAATTTTAGTTAAGAATTTTTAAGCTATAAATTGATTTGTTTGTTCAGTCTAATAATCTTTCCCCTGCATGATTATCAGTAAACTAACCATAGGAATGTTTTCCTTAAGGGGAAGGGAGCTGAAAACCTTCAAATCTCTCAAATCTGTCAAATTGATTTTGATGCCATCCCATTCATCACCATCCTTGATCATCTCTCCAAATGTTTCAGATAATATCAGAAGATATTAGAATACACTTTATGAGTGTGTTCTCAATACAGCAGGTCAGGTTGAGTCAAAACACTTCAGGCAGCAGCACTAAAATGGTGATTTTTATCATCCAACTGAGAATGAACTTTGCTTTCTTTCCTCTTGCAGGTGCTCCAGAGTCGTGGGGCTGTTGGCTCCCTTTCCAAGAGATGTCCCAACTCAGCTTGTGCTCAGTGTTTCCACACTCATGGAGCTCTAGGAAATGGAGTCAATCTATAGAGGGTCAGGTAAGTGTCCTCCTTTACTATGACATGGTTTTGCAAAGTTTTTTTTTATTCATAGCATTTTATACCCTCCCTGGATATAAAATAATTAAAATGAAAATGAACAAAAACAGCCATGAAAAAAAAAACTTTCCAAAGCCATGCATCCATAGTAAAATCCAGCACATCCTGACCCTCTATAGGCTGGCTTCATGCTGGGGCATCACTTGGAGTGAGAACCAGTGCTCTGCCACTTTAGGAGACCTGAAATGGGGGGAAAAAAGTAAGTTAAAGCTGTAGGGTTTTTTATGGACACTTCTGAAATTTCTTTTATTCGTTTTGAAGTCATTTAAAACACCAACAATTGTTTGTGGTTTAAAAATGGTGAATTATGTAAGGATTTTTTTCCCATACACTGTGTCTGCTCTCAATCACATGCTTGTTTGTTATGCCACAGGACTGCCAGGCTGCAGAGTCTGCGCTTCAGCTGCACAGGATACCTCAAGGGAGAGAGAAAAGGGAGAGAATGATCATTTCATGCTGTAAAACACAGCATAAAGCTAGACCAGAGCTCCTTAATCCAAGTGTGGAGTCTCTGGTTTAGCTTGGATGGTCATGAATATTCTTGGGAAATCAAAACTGGCACATCATTGGCACACTTGAGAGTTTTGAGCACTGTAAGGTTGTACCTGGGGAACTGAAGGTGCTCTGGGCAGTGCATCTGTCCTGCACTTCTTTCCTTTATCCAGGAAAGTTATGGAGAAGCAAAGGTGTTTTGAGATGAGGCATTTGGAACAGAAAATGTCAGCTTGTCCTTTCAAATTGCCACAAGTGGTCATGTTACCAGGAGTGAGCTGGCAGTGACTGAAGCTGCCTTTTGGCAGATCTTTCCTTGCCTGGATCCAGCTGTTCCAGGGCAGTGTGAGACGTTCTGTGGGAAGTTTTTAAAAGCAGGCAGGTGGGTGACACTGCACTCTGCATTTCCAATGCAATGGAATTTCCATATTCAGTTTAATGCAGGCAGGATCTGACCTCAGCAGGGGAGAGGGGGTTGCCATGAATTTTCACCTTCTTTTTTTTCCCGTTTTTTGAATGAGGAGAGACACTGAGCTTTTGGCCAAGGTAAGCTGGAGGCTCTGGACATCGCTGAAATAACGGGTGTGTGATAAAAAACTCCATCCAGGGAAAATGGTGACAAACCACCAGTGCTAAAAGTTTTCTTGCTCCTGGAAGGGAAGATGTCCATCTTCACATGGGATCACTCCCTGTTCCCATCATCCAGGTGGAATTATCCCCCTTTCCCTGCCGGCGTGGCTGTGTGGCAGGGCCCTGGGCAGCTGTTAACCCCCCTCTCTCTCTCTGTTGCAGTACACCATGTTCATGTGTTGTGCCATTCTCATCACCATTGTGCAGTACTGTAACTTCTGCCAGCTCAGCTCCTGGATGAGATCCCTGCTGGCAACTGTGGTGGGAGCAGTGCTGCTCATCCTGCTCTACGTCTCCTTGTGCCCCACCAGGTGAGCAGGGGAACACAGCTGGGCTTCTCCCCAGGGAAACAAGGGGCTGATGCACAGGATTTTGCTGTCTGCCATGATTTTCTCCAGCATCTCAACTTTAATGATTTTATTTCTTCATTATTTATTTTTTTGAAGGATTTTAGGGGCCCCTCCTCTGTGTGACACACTGTGCTTCCTGAGGTGTTTCTAGGACACAGTTACAGAGCCACAGAATTGCCTTTCACCACTAGTTTGAAAATCTGTTTTATTAAGGAATTTCCCAGGTATTTGGTGGTGCCAGAGAGCCCAACTGCTCCCCAGCATCCCTCTGGATTTATTTTTGCCCTTAGGAATCATGTATTCTTCCACCTCCTTCCTCAATGCATTTTCCAGTGTGGAAGGCAGGTGTTTAGGTTTAATGGGATCTAATACCCAGTTCCATTCTCAGTTTCCTACATTTTCAGAGGACTCTGCAGAACAGTATCCAGAGGAATCAAGATAATGCAGTTTCTGTGCAATAACCTTAAATTTTTCCAGTTTTCCTCTGATAAACGATTTTCTGCAAGGAGAATTTGTTTGCAGTATTCTCCTGCTGTTTTCTTGCCAAGAGAGTCAAGGGGGGCCCTTCTAGCCTTCTTCTCTTATTGGCAAAATTTTGTAATCACCTTGCACTTCTCAGTGCTTTAAGACCCTCCCTTGGGATGGACTTAGCAAGGTCTTCTCAATCAGTCAGTTCTCTCCTTCAGAGGCCTGCTGAATCATAAGGTGAAAAAAAATGAAAAAAATCCACCAAACAAACCAAAAAGAGTTTGCAGATCCATATTTTAGTGAGTATTTAGCTTTAATTGCCTCTTTGAGTGTCTTCTGTGGTCTCTTAATTTTGATTAAGCTTACCTTGAATAAAAAGGGAGAATAAAAGTCACCTCTTACACCTGTTCACATCTGTGATTTGAGGTGGCTCTAAGGGTTCAGGGAGAAAGTCTTGGGAAAAAGCTGGAGACAGTTGACAAATAATTTCTAGATCATATTGACTAGAGAAAAACCCCTTTCTTGTCTGTCTGCAAAGGACTTGGACACGGAGGGCAGAGGAATTCTCTCCAGCTTCAGTGCAGAAAATGAGTGTTTGGTTCTGAAGCCTCCCTGGTCTCCTCATGGATTTGTCCCATTGGGTTCAGGATCCCAGAGATCATCACTTGTCCCCCAGCACTGAGTGACTCCCAGTCACAAAGACTTTTTCCCTGTGGCTTTTCCCTTTGTTCCCTGGTGCTTTCGCTGGCCAGCCACAGCTTCACTGAGAATCATGGAATCACAGAATCCTTGAGGTTGGAAATGCCCTGTGGGACCATCGAGTCCAGCTGTTCCACCCACACTGCCCCATGTCCCCAAGTGCCACATCCACAGGACTTTTACATCTCCCCAGGGTGGGGACTCCAGGGCTTTTGATTTTTTTTCCTTAATATCCACCTAAAGCTCCCCTGGCACCATTTGAGGCTGTTTCCTCTTGTGCTGTCACTTGTTCCTTGGGAGCAGAGCCCGACCCCCACCAGGCTCCAAACTTAACCCAGGTTTGGTTTTCCAGGGGAATTAGTGAAGAGCAGACCCTTGATGCCATTTCTTCATTTCCTGCTTGTTCTTCCCTAATTGCCCCCAGCAGGAGTTCCTGGAGCTCCTTCCCTTCCCCAGTGCAGCTGTGTCTGCCTGGAGCTCCCTGGGGGTTCCTGCAGAGCCTGGTAGCAGGAGGTGATGGTGGAATTCACTCCTGGACAAGCTCTCAGTGTTGAGACTGGGCAGAAAGAAAGGCACAGAACTGGGCATTTTCCTTGCATTTCAACTTTATTAAGGGACTGGGAATGGCTCTTCCAAAGCTGAGAGGTGGAGATGTTGCTGTTGTGCCAGGTCTTAGCTCTTGCTGAGTGCTAAAGGGGCTCTGTGAATGTTTAGAAGCCCCATTATCTTAATAAATGTTACTAATGATGGTGATTTCCACCTGTGGTGTGAACAGCAGTGACCATTAATGGGCAAGCTTCAGAAATGATGGGATATGTTGTTATTTCATCCCTCAAAAATAAATATTCCAAGTAACAGAGCTGTTCAACTGCAGGTCTGAAAATGTGATTGATAGAATTGATCCTGAACAAAAGTCACACAGGTTTATTCACTTCAATTTGTTAATAATCATCTTTTTGTTCATCTCTGACTGTGATTCTGGTAATATTTTTTGTCACAGTGGCAATTCCAGCCCTGTCTGCACCACAGACAGATCCATTCTGCAGTTTTACTTCCTTTTCCAATTGTAACTAATCCTGAGAGTTTGATACTCTCTTGCTCCTTGATTGCAGCAGAGAAATTGTAATACAAGTAAATATGAAAAATGCTTGAACTATTTCTTTTCTCTAATGGCATCTTCAAAAATGGGTTCTGTGTTTGTTGAGGATTTGGGTTTTTTTTTTTTGTTTTGGGTGGTTTGGGTTTTTGTTTGTTTTGTTGTTTTTGGTTTTGGGGTATTTTTTGTTTTGGTTTTTGTTTGGAGAGCTGGGGTTTGTCTCTTCGTGTTTTGTTTTTAAAATTTTTGTGCTGTGTGCTTACATAAGATGAAAGCATAATGGAGCCTTAAGAGTTCTGGGATTGCTTTTCCCTATTTTCCAGGTAAGATGGGATTGTTTTAACAATTACTTGTTCCAGGCATCACAGAATTCCAGCTTGCCTTTACAGGGATTTGCATTTCTGGCTGCTTCCTTCTTCCAAGCAGATAAGTCATGTTCAGACAGAGTTTGTGTGCAGTTGATCAGGTCTGCAGTGCAGTTATTGGTCTGTGCAATAGAGAAGTTGAAAATTCTGTCTGGAATGATGCAGGAAAGTTTGTTTATTGCTTTAACTTTCCCTCTGAAATCAGTGCTTTTTTCATTTCAGCTCCATGGAAGCTCCTCATCTAGATTTGGCACAGAACTTTAGGTAAGCTTTATATAAAATTACCATCTTTATATTTAGGGATAGAAACATTTTCAGGGAATTACATATAGCAAAACTTTGCATCCACAGTAATAACTTGGGAATTCAGCAAATTGGTTCAGCAAGTTGTATTTAAGCTCCTCATGTAATTTCCTTTGCAATGATTTGGGTATGACCAAAACTCATCAGGGCTGGTGCTGCAGTCACAGAGTTGTGTAATGATATTTTCTCCTTAAATTGGATTTCTAGGAAGTAGAACTATGGAGGAGCTATTTAAAACAGCATCTGTTTTTCCAGTAGCAGCAGTTTTTAGAGCATTATCTGTCTACCACGAGCTGTTTCTTTGATTTCCTTGGCTGATTTGCACCATTCAGGAGCAGTGTGAGTTGGATGCTCTCACAGCTGGGCAGGTGAGAATTCCCAGGTGGAGAGGAGCTTCCTCTGGAAAAGCTGGATGTGCAGCCAGCTGCCTTCTCAGCATGGGATGTGACAGTCTGGGCCTGGCTGTCACCTTGTCTGGCCAGAGCAGGGAGTCATAAAACTGAGAGCAAAGGAAATTTTAGCCCCCAGTCTTTCAAAACAAACAAAAATCCTTTCCTGGGTTATTAATGACCCCTTAAAATGCATGTGTTAAAGATTCACTCTGGTGATTTCAGTGCTGAGTTTCTCATGGGTTTACTGCAAGTTTTTGCAATACCAGTTTGAAATTATTTTAGTGGTATTAGACAAGTCTGTGTTTGCTCATTGCAGATTTGGGGACAAGATTTGGGCCATGTTGGGTTTGATGGAACTGTGGATGTGTGACTTCAGTAATGCATCTAAAATGGATT